AGTAAAAGTGAGAAAACTCGTGGATTGAGATAAGAACTCAATAATTGAAATAAAATAGATAATTGATAATAAAATAGAAATAGTTTAATAATTGAAATAAAATAGAATAATAATAGTAATAACAATCAATTGTAATGTAAAGGAGAATAACAAAAAAGAGAGAAATAAAACCCAGGAAAAACAAGTGATGCAAATGAAAAACAATTGCTCCCCACCCACCGACTGATGCCCAGACTGTTCCTGAGCAGTGGTGGCCTCCCCAGCCAGCTTCCCCCAAGTTTATACACTTGAGCATGACATCATATAGTATGGAATATCCCTTTGGCCAGTTGGGGTCATCTGTCCTGGCTGTGTCCTCTCCCAGCTTCTTGGGAACCCCTGCCTTCTCACCGCCAGGCCAGTAGGAGAAGCTGAGAAGTCCTTGACTGCTTGGCAGCAACTAAAACATGAGTGTGTTATCAACATTAGTCTCATCCTAAATCCAAAACATAGCACTACGCCAGCTATTAGGAAGAAAATTAACTCTACCCCAGCCAAAACCAGGACAGAAGCTCAGGTCTCTGATCTGGTTTCCCAGATGCAGTCATGGTTGAAATAATGTAATACCTATTAACTGTGGTTTGGATTGTCTTTTATTTAAACAAATACTTCACATTGAATGCACACATAACTTCCATAGGTTGTTATAATGCAGAATATAATCTTTATGCTGAAATTAAGGTGGAAGATAACCTGGGAACTGCTGTGGGAGACTGAGGTTGGGGGATTAGGGAGGGGAGGCTCCAGTTTATTAAACAGCCTAATACTAGGTGGTCAGTAGCTATGTTCAGCTAGTCTACCTGTGTTGTACTTTTAGCCTAGCTATTGATAGCTTAGATTTCCATCTAGTTCACTGCAGAGTTACTGTACAAAGCCTCAGCTTTTGTTCTGGAGTCTGTGAAGATGACTTATGAGGTGTCATGCTTCAATTCAATTTGTTTGCATTTTCAGAAAGTTAGTTAATCAAGAGAAAATAAACTGTAGATAGTCAACCATCTGCAGATAGCTAGTTCATGAGGATACGTTCACTGTCCAGTGATATTCCTAAGAGGTCCATTCTGCAAAACAGAGAGATTTGAGGCTAGATCTATGTTTTGTTACTGTCCAGATTAAATGGATAAACAGGATGATGCTGTCTAGTTTGACGCAGGTTGCTTTTTCAAAGATTGGTACATTTGAGACTTACCTAGGTAAAATATTCCAAGCATCTTCTGGAGCCATGTCAACATCTGTCTCAGCTTCCTTTCTCAAGGCCTCTGTGACATGGAAAGGAACGCTGGCAATGAAAAAGTCAGTCTGCTCTATAAAGTTTCCTGGCGAGAGCTCTCATGGTAAATGTGTCTTGATTACAGGCATGCTTTTGACCGTTCTGCTGCTGCTATTGCTTCAGGCAGCTGAGACTGAGGACTTGGAATGTGCCGACACTCAGAGCTCTTCCAGGCTTATAATAGCCAACCTCTTTGGAAAATTACCTCATAAAAATCCCAGTGTAATCCAGCAAAAAGGGCAAAAAATCCCCTTCCTTTTAGGCATGGGCAAGCCAGCTCTTCTCATGCCTACGGTCAAAGACAAAGGAGTGCTTCCAGTATAGCGTGTATTCTGGATGTGAATCTAGTCCAAAGGAAGAGGATGCTGTGGATACCTGGATGTGACAAATTTTCTTGTGCTGCATCTACTAAGACAGACTACTAAATATAATGAGCTTTGTATTTTCAATAGTGAACCAGGTTTCAGTTATTACAACAGTAATGGAAAATTGCCTATAATGAACATGTGAACTTCAGAGCCCAGAGATGTGGTTCAGGAGAGTCTGAGACGAATGTGTGTAGAATGCTTAAGGTTTTATCTCCTATGCTGAAATGGTACCCACAAACAAGCTTCTGTGATAAAACTATAGCACTTGCACACCTTTAGAAAAGGAATATAGTAAAAATAGCTAACTTAAAATTAGTCTTAAAGGAAGCATTTGCCCTGAAAAATGCGAGTACACCTATAAAAAACCTGTTCATAGTGATTGGGCTGGACAAATCTTGCCAATTTCTGTGACAACATAGCATGCATGAGAGATTTTTCCATGTTTGTGGGTACTTGGAAGAGCAACAGAGGCTTTTTGAGCCTTCACGCTCCAGCATGAACCCTTGTTCATTCCAAGCCTTCCATTGCACGTTATATTCGGAGTTAGTCCCATTTATTGGTGCTCCAGAAAACTTGGTAGTTGTAGCTCAGGCACTTTCACTGAAATACTCTGATAGAGAACACTGTCATTCTAGGAAGTGTGTTCAGCCTCCGAGAAAGTGATTTGAATATTAGAAAGCTGTAAAATCTCAGCAGGAGATGAGGAGGAGGAGGTTTGTAGGTGCCAAAAGGTTGGAGTGAAAAGTCTGTTCACAGCTTAATTCAGATTTTTTTTTTATTCAAAGGTTTATGTATAAATGTCTTTGAGCTCAGAACAACAAGAAGAAAAAAATTTAGTTCTGTGAAGCCTAGAGCCAGAGCTGTGTAGTTTTCTGTGTATATAATAGGAGTGTCATTCCAGTGGCCCGTATAAAAAAAAAAAAAAAAAGAACCAGGAAGGTGAAATTACAATGAAGCTTTCATTCCCTTCATGTTAACAAAGCAGACTTGCTGTTAGCAAGGCTCCATGCATCAGTGGAGAATGAACTGCCCTGGGGGACTATGTAAACATGGAATACAAATCTCACCATGCATAGGGATGGAGAACTGACATGTGTTTCAAGCGATGATGGATTGATGCTGGCAGGAAACACTTCCCTTGTGTGGAGCTTTTTACTGTTTGGAGAAGTACCATGATTAACTAATTGTTTTGTATAAAATGAAAAAACAAGCAAGCTCTAGCAGGTTTGATTGCATGGTAATTTCATGTATTGTATACCTGCTGTTATGATATATAACTAGGATAGGAAAGTGCAAATGTGCTGTTTTCATTAAACTCTATAAATGAGTGCAGTTCAAGAGGTACACTGTTGATCTGTAACCTATTAAAACTGCTTTGTGACTCAAATTTCCACCTCTATGAAAAGGACCTATTAATGCTTTTAGGGCTACTTGGAAGTTTGCATTTTGCAGGTCCCTTTTCAGTGCAAGTTGTGTCATCTTATTTTTCAAGGCAATGTCTTCAATGAGTCTGTAGCAAGTCCTGAATATATACTTACTTTTTTTTTAAGAATTCACAAGCTATATCCTTATTTTATTCCCTTTCCCTGTCTTTATGCCTTCTTTCAAGATAAAATTCCTTAATGTTTTTCATTACTGACTAGAATCTTCAAAGGAATTTTAGTTTCCATTGGAAAGAAGTTACATTATCCAGCCCTCACTGTAATGAAATGTTGTGTGATAGAGCTTTGTAATTTGCTACTACTTCTTATGCGATGTTACCAAATCTGTCTACCTCCCAAAGGCAGTAGAGTTACTTGAGTGTATGTGGTTCTATGGGGTTTATGAGGAATGGTCTTTTCCCATAGTTTTGTCCGTAGTAATACGAAAAAACAGGCATCCGTTTTGAAGTTTGGCAGGCAGGTTTTTCCTAAGAAGAGTCATCGTCACTTTTACGCTTAAGCTATCTGTGTAAGCATTCCTTCAAAGTTTCCAAGCTTTTATATTTCCACTGACATTCTATAAATGTCAGCTGAACATGACTGATAGGAACTTGTGATGGAATGGGTCCTGCAAGTGTAACTATAGTGACATGGAGAGGGCAGGACACAGATGATGCATTCAAAAGTTTATAAGATACAGAGACTCTTAAATTATTTTGAACTTGGTTAAAATACTTTCTGTCTCAAATGCTGGTCTAACATTTGTTCATTTAAAGTTCTAGTGTATTTTCAACAGAGGTTTAAAATGTAGCATGTTGCACAAGTCCCAGACAAAATTATCATCATGTTTAATTACACAGTTGTGTTATCTTGTCCACAGGACTCTCGTTATGTGTAATTACAGACTATTATAATAATTAATGCATGTTAACTTTGAATAATTATGACACAGACAAGTTTAATTCTTCTGTTTGTTAACAGGGATTAGCTTTGCATTTGTTAATGCCCTTTTTTTGAACTATAGTATGCGTACACATGTGCAGTAATGTGGTGAGGAATGCTATTGTATTCGTACAGTGCAGTTTAGATGTCTGTTGACACATTTTGGGGGATTGTGGTACTCCTTTTAATTTGTTTTGAATATCATTCTTTGTGGTAAGTTCTGTTTTCACCAATTCCATATAAAATTCATAATCTTTCTTAATTTTATGAAATGCTATGCTTCCTTTGAAGTTATTCTGTGTCTATAACAGTCACTGAGGAGAACTGCCTTTTTGGATACTTGTTCTGTGCAGTGCAGTTGGTCTGGCTGAAGCTTCTTCGTTTTACTTTAGTTTACATCTCTGCTTGTATTTTCAGTTCAAATCCACGCCGAGTAAGAATGTGTCAGTGGTGGGCTGGATGGTCATGATGGCAGATGACCCTGAGCATCCAGATCTCTTCTTATTGACTGATTCTGAGAAGGGTGAGCAATGCTAGCACCAAGAGGGCAATGATTCCCAAAATAAACATTTGCTTTGAGGTATTCATAAGCAACTAAATGAAATGGGAAGGATGTTACCTTTCACTTACTCAGCTGCCCTCCAGTGTGTCATGTTTGCCTTTGGAATGCTATGGGAACAATCGGTGGAGAATCCTTAGAGTTTTCATTAAGTTCTAAGAACTCTCCAAACTCTAAGAAATCCACTTGTGATTTTTATTGGAAGTATTCATCTGCATTCTTTTAAACTATATTTAGACCACTCAGAGGCATTTTCACATATGTGAAAATGTAAGTAACAATAAACCAAAAAGTTCAATATTCAGCTAACACTAGGTGCTTGACCAGTCCCTTCTCTCCAGATGAAAAACAAAACCCAAACTAAACCATCTGTTCAAATGTAGCACTATTAACAGGAAAAAAAACCCCAAGAGATCTTGACTGTTTTGCAAAGAAGCTTTGATTTCTGTTACTCCACTGTAGTGCCCTGGTTTCAGTTTAAACTGTGAAGAAATTGTTACTTTTCCAGAGCACTCAAACTATGTATGAAGAGCATCATTAGCAGTTCTGATAAAGGAGCTTCACATTATTTACTGCTTTGTCTACTTCAAATCTTAGTACATTTTATTTCCAAGCATCTGTGCTTGTGCCACTGATACAGTCGTGTAAATTATAACTGCTTATCAGCTTAAACTTGGCAACAGCAATCTGAAATGTTTTTGTACTACTTGGCCTTTCTGAACCCAGGCAAGCACTGTATAACACCGGACACTGAAAATACTTGTCTGAAATATATAAATATGCTTAGGAACAATTTTCAAATATTTTCAAATACAGCTTTCTAGAGTGTATTTCAGTGCTATCTTGCACTTCATTAAGAAATGATGAAATTATGTTATAAACAAATTGTAACAATAGCAGTCAAAAAACCCCAAAACATTTTTGTTGTATGGTTCTGAGAAATGTTTTGTTCTTTCCTAGTTGACACCAGTGTTAGTTGAAATCTAGAATGTTGGAAAGGAAGACAGGCGAGCTGAGACTTCTCTCGCACTAGGTCAAACAATTAAGTTGCGCTTATGCCAGACGCAGTGTAAAGTTATATGAATGTTCTGCTATTAAATCTTCTTAAAGTTATTTGAATATGGGTAGGATTTAAGTATATAAAATTGTTTGTGTTTATCAGGTTTTTTCCTATCTTTCTTACTTAGGAAATTCATATAAATTTCAAGCTGGAAACAGAATGAATGCAATGCTGTGGTTTAAACACCTGAGTGCTGCCTGCCAAAGCAACAGACAACAGGTGAGAGCAAGACATTGAAAAGGGACGTGAAAGAGATAAGAGCTGAGAACTGATAGATCTTCTGGGTGACCGAGCTGTAACTGATTGTTTTGTATGAAGAACAATCTGCTCTGAGCAGCCTCTGCATTGATTTCACATGCTTATTGATTTGCCTTAGCTTTCCTGTTTGTCTCTTTGTAAACAAGTCCTCAGAGCTTCTGTAGTAGTGAAGAAAGATTTGGGGCTATCTTGAGGCTCATTTAAAGCAGTTGGGAAAATGGAAGAAATGCTCTTAAAATACCTGTCCAAGTGGCAGTATTTTTGTCATTGCCTATTTTAAAGAGGCTATTTTACAGTTATATAAAAAGCTGTAAACTGTAGCATTCGATATCAATTCCAGATAACTCTCCTGTAGTGCCATTTTGTCAGGTCTTGGGCACGCATGCTTTCTGTTGTTTGCGTGTATTTCTAAAATATATTAAAAAATAGCTTAGTCCTGGGTACATTCAATAGACTTTGAAAGCAAAGGTAGAATTTTCAATGAATCAAAAAGGAAGATAAGACTACTCCAACCCCTATTAAATTCAGTTCCCATACAAATTCTTACTTGACCTTTTTCATTAGCAATATCCTTTTTAAGTTACCACTTTGTCTTCCTGAAATCTCCCTTTTCCTTTGCACATTTGTTTATGGAGTTCTCAAAGTAAAAGACTAACGAATTTCAAGGTGAAACAAAAGAACTTTTCCAGATCCTTCCGTGCTTTCTTGTTCAGTTCTGCTTCTGAGAGAAATCTAAGGAGTAAGGAGGGTTGCAGAACCTCCCTTGAAAGTATCTGAGATGGTGCAAAGGAGAGGAAATTGTGTTCCTGGCTGTAGAAGGTGGGAATAGTAGCAACTAGCAGCAAAGAGTTTGCAAGAAAGTGGTGACTGCCAGGCAGGCCCAAAAACTGCCCTCTGAGGACAGCTTTTGTTCAATAAGGCTTAACAATACAATTTAATGCAAACTTGTTTAAAGCATTCAGCCCCTAGTTTGTGCAAAGCAGCAAGCTTGAGGATTTTGGCAGGGTTTCCTTTGGAAAATATGACAGCAAGGTGAAGATAAGTAGGAGATTTTAAAAGGGAAAAAAAAAGAGGATTAATAAAAAACCCCTACCACTGAAAACAGAACCCCTACTACCATGATTTGTTGCATATTTTCTGTTTTCTGGCATGTTGTGTAGTAGTGCTATATGGGTTCTTGGCAGCGTAGTTGCTCCCCCAGAAGTAGCAGCACTTCACACAAACATCAAGTTACAAAGGTTGGTTTACCAAATGAGTAAAAAAAAAAAAAAAAAAATCCTGTAAAATTTTTCTCTCGAGCATGATTTGACTCTAGAACAGCGCTTTTGCTAGAGAGATGCCTTGTGGTACTGTTTAAAATGGAAGATCTGGTTTACTTGCTAACAGTATGACTGCCCAAGAAAGACTGGATGTTTAAATGTGTTTTCATAGAACCATAGAATGGTTCAGGTTGGAA